TGACCGGATATTCGGAATGAAATCTTGGTATTATTTTACAGCAATGGCTGGTGCAGAACGCCTGCTAAGCTATCAGGCACATGGCCCACTGTAGGTGCACTCTGTTCGCCGCCATTTGTTGTTTTTATCTTCATCACTATTGCATGATGTGAATGATCGATGATGGAATGTTCGGAAGGGTCGCTACTCTCGGGTGGTTGCTACTTTCAGGTTTTACTAGCGGCGACAATTTTTTGACGTTACTTTCGAAAGTTTACGGTAGTTTACAACACTCAACGAAATTAACAAATTTAGAGTTTTAGCGAATTTGGCTTTAAGGGACTGTCCAGCTATAGTTAATTTTTAACGCACCATCATCGCTCAATCGCACCACTGACAACCTCTGGTGGAAGTCCTGGGGACGAGTCAAATTATTTTCATGGCGTAACGTAACAACACATTCCTGACAGCAGCGCAGGAGCGCAATCTCAACATCAGGATACTTCCTTGTAGAATTAATTACCCAAAGGTATTTACAAACTAAACACCATGGCAGGCAACTGCACGTTATTTGTGGACAAGCAACACTACTGTGTAAGTTCCCTGAGATGTGTTATTTCCAATGCAAATAATTAATCTTCATTCTATTTATGTTTCTGGTTATTTTGCTTTGATTCAATATCGATACTTACATTTCAGACGGCGATTTATGCCGTTAAACAAACGATGTCTTCATTGGAACTTATTGGCAGGTAATTAATATTTTGGGGGCCTGTTAATTATAGGCCGTAGACTAATATAGTTGATGTTAACTTTGTAGTCTTGCACATAACAACACAGCCGCATATATTCAATCGCCGCAAAGTTGAACAATCTCCGTTTTGTCACGACAGAATAATTTGACATTCGCAGATATCGCACCAGCCTGGAAGCACAACCGTCATTCTTCGCTTGCAGCTGCTTTGTTGCTCGAGAAAGCACTCTAACCCACGGACAAACGGGAACAACGGCTGAGAGCGACAAGACACGGTTGTACTCACTGACTCTGCTTGTTAGCTTCAACTGCCTTCAACTTTCAATATTTTATATGCACTGAACCATTCGAAACTTAAAATAGAATTTTATTCCCAAGCGACAGAGCTAACTCAGGACCGATTCACCATTGACTTATCACTACATCTGCTTCTTTGTTTACCATCTTAGGAAAAGCGACATTAAATTAACAAGCTTCTTTTAATTAAGCTTGTTTTAGCATCGTTTTCTGATCCGAAGTTCCGAACATGACACACTTGTCATGGCGTCGCCGTGCGTCACAGCACGTCACGAACTGGAGCATCTAGAGTAATATTTCACCTTTCTGTACTAGCGGGACAAAATGAGATTTTATTGGTAGGCTCTTTAAGGGTAAGGGTTTTCGAGAAGCTTAATTACACTATTATAAATTATCGCAGTCCTCTCGGCTAATTAATCAATCCTTTAATTAACCATGAAAGTCACCAAACAAAGAGTAACAAAAGATTTAATGAGCAGAACAATGGCTATACCAATCTTGATGCATTTCTTAACCAAACTGAAGCCGTGTGCTTATTTTGTAGGATGTAAACCGCTGATTTTTTTTGTATTTTCTTTTGAGAAATTGAACGCTGTCATTAGCCTTATTACGCATTTAACCTGAGTAAGTTTCAGACCGATTGGCGTACTGAAATGATCTAGACAATTACGACATTTTTCAGTTATTACTAAGGGTTGTCTTCACCGTCGCCGTCGTCATTGTTAAGCTCCGTAATGCATGATTCACATATTTCTTTCAACTTTTCCTACATACATTTTTCTTATCACCTGAAACACGATCAAGATGGCGAGCAATTCCACGTCGTCGCACGGATCTCCTCGTGTCCAAAACGTCCGCATTTCTGACTCTTGTCCCTCCCCCAATCAGTCAGACGCACTCAAGCATAGGGAACTAAATAACGTTGACACCATTCTATTAACCTTGTAGCTCGGCCGAGTTCACTTAACTACGTACCGATTTGCCACTTAATTACTTAAAACTATTTCTGTTTTCCTATCGAGATCTCGCGTTCTATCAGAGTTTTACTAATATGCGAGCCAGCGAGCCATGCGAGTCACAGTGCGAGCCATGCGAGTCATGCGAGTCATGCGAGCCATGGTGCGAGCCATGGAAAATGAAAAATAAAAAATAAATAAAATAAAAAATTAGTATAATAAAATGTATTATCGTTTGTCACACGATGTAGTCACTTTAGGTGTAGATCGCGACGTTTCGACTGNAAGTTTTGGGGGAACACGAGCCGATAATCGAGTGTTTCCACAGCTTTTATGAGTTCTCCGAAACTTTCACGAGTGTTTCTATGTAACAATTAGATTATGAGCTCGATATGTCTATGGCTGGTTTGCAGTGTCACGCCATCAAAAATAAAAATCATAACTATTCATTCAATTAAGTCAAGAAGCTGGGATATGAAAGATGATTGATATATGAACAACCTCGCCAAGATTTAGGTCTGTGCGGCTTTCATTCTCCCGTTGTTGGGAGAAGTATTTCACACAAGTTTATAGAGCTTTGTATGGAGTAGCCATGTTTGTGCCCCTCGGAGGGACACAAACATGGCGGCCGTAAAGTAACAGAAACAACTGTCATCGCGTTTTGCCATTGAAACGAAAAGTTATTCCTCTAGAGCTCCGACACATTTAAATTAACACTTCTTATAGAGCAACAACTGTTTAGTTAGCAAAAACTTTACCAATAACTCATCTTTTTTGACTACTCGAGAGTTTATCCGGCCGCCATTTTAATGTCACACAACGCATAAACTTGGAAATTCAAACGTGCCCTATTTCAAAAAGAGGAACCCTGTAGAGTTTAAACGCTGCAAAACGTCAAGTTATTAGAGGGTCTCACATCTGATGAAACTAAAACTTCAGAAGGATTGGTAATTTCTTATTTTGGAAAATGATGACATCACATGAAAAGCGGCAATTTAAAGAATAGAGTGTTTCTGTCGAGGAACAATTTATTATGTTGGCTAATAATGTCCGCAACTGAGATATTGTCCGAAAAATGAATATTTGGCCGAGAAGCGAAGCTTCGAGGGCAAATGTGAAATTCTGAGGACAATCTCTCAGCCAAGGACATTATCAGCCAACATACCAGCGAGCCAGAAAGGGGTTTATTTATTTTATCACCCTCCCATTAATATTCTGCATATTTTGTTGACTCTTTTGTACTTATCGGAACAGCATTGGTGACCAGTTTTTTTTTTATGTCATTATCGGCGGATTCCACGAAAAGAGTTTGTTTTTCTTCTATGAAAAATAATAAAGCTGAAAAGGTGAAATTCTAGAACTGGATTTATTCTTTTTAGCTTTGTTTCTTTCCGACAGAAACAGTCGCAGGGCAATTATCGACGCAGGCAGAGGTTATTGCGTGATAACTGCCCAGTAATTGCACCACGTGATGTAAAATAGCCAATAAAATTGCGCGAAAATTAAGCGTGGGCTATAATTAAACAATAGGGTGTTTCTCATGAGGAACTATCGGCTGATAGTTGTTGATGTTCTTAAAACAAATATTTGCCCTAGAAGCAAAGCTTCGAGGGCAAATATGCTAGTTTTAAGGTGACTCGATCGGATACCATTATCAATCCAACAGAAAATCAAACGTTACCGGTGTACTAGTGAAAGATGAAAGTTTCACATGGGGTACATTTCACCGGGATCTGAGCTACCATAGCAACGAAATGACGCCATGCCCCATTTTACATAAGACCGAATAACTTGCTATCAGGGATAATTTTGGAAATTACGACGTCGGGATCTCAGCTCGGACTTGACATAGTTGTCTTAACGATGGCAAAATATTAAAATAATCTACAAAGGCGTTTTCGAGAAAATTGCGAGTGA